TACGAAAGAAGATATAAAATAGAAAAAGGGATTTAATTTGCGTCTGGGGCTGCGGGTTTGTGTGGTTGCTGCTGCTGCTGCAGCTGCCGCTGCTGCTGCTGCTGCTGCTGCTGCGCGAGCTGTCTGTACACCAAAATGGCGAAGAAGCAGAAGCAAGGAGCCGAGGGCATTAACTCTCGTTTGCAGCTCGTGATGAAAAGTGGCAAAGTTTGTTTGGGGCTGAAGACTGCTGTGCATTCCCTCAGAACAGGAAAAGGTATTTAACCCCTTGCTGCTGCTGCTGCTGCTGCTGCTGCTGCTGCTGCGGGCTTCAGGCGCCAGCAGCAGCAGCAGCGGGGGGGCAGTGCTGCGCTTTTGCGGCGGGTGCTTGCGGCGGCGTTGCTGCTGCTGCTGCAGCAAAGCTGCGACGCCTAGCTGCTGCCCGCTTGCTGCTGCTGCTGCTGCTGTTGCTGCTGCAGCAAAGCAGCGACGCCTAGCTGCTGCCCGTTTGCTGCTGCTGCTGCTGCTGTTGCTGCTGCAGCAAAGCTGATCATCATCAGCAACAACTGCCCCGCGCTGCGCAAGTCAGAGATTGAGTACTACGCAATGCTGGCCAAGTGTGGGGTGCACCATTACCCCGGAGGTAATTGACTTTCGAGGGTTTAGCCAAGTGTGGGGTGCACCATTACCCCGGAGGTAATTGACTTTCGAGGGTTTAGGGTTTAGGGTTTAGGGTTTAGGGTTTGGGGTCACACCGGGAGTGTGCTGCAGTCGGCTTTCCGTCGCACCATTAGTTGCTTCATTGCAGCTGCTGCCACACCAGCAGCTGCTACTGCCTCCTCACCTGCTGCTGCTGCTGCTGCCTCACCTGCTGCTGCTGCTGCTGCCTCACCTGCTGCTGCTGCTGCCTCACCTGCTGCTGCTGCTGCTGCTGCAGACAACAACGAGCTGGGGACTGCATGCGGGAAGCTTTTCCGCGTGAGCTGTCTCTCTGTTACTGACCCTGGAGACAGCGACATTATCAGATCAGTGGAGTAAGCAGCAGCAGCAGCAGCTGCTGCTGCTGCAGCAGCAGCAGCAACTGCTACTGCAGCAGCAGCAGCAGCAACTGCTACTGCAGCAGCAACTGCTGCTGCAGCAGCGGCTGCTCGGGCACTGTAGCGGTCGCTCCGCCGCTGCAACTGCAGCTGTGGGGCACTGCAGCGGCGGCTCTGCTGCTGCTGCTGCAGCAGCTGCTTTGCTGCTCGTGCTGCTGCAGCGGTTTGTTTTTGCTGCTGCTGATTCAGCAGCAGCAAGAAACGAGGCTGAACTTTGGGTGGGGTTGTTGCAGCGGAGGGCCCCTGAAGTTTTTAATAAAATAAACTTTGAGGCTGCAGATAGCAGCAGCTAGAAGCGCAGGTAGCAGCAGCAGCAGCAGCAGCAGCATCAGCGGCAGCAGCAGAAGCAGTTGCAGCAAAGGACCCTAGAGAGACAGGCAGCCAGGAGCGCAGGCAGCAGCAGCAGCAGCAGCAGCAGCAGCAGCAGCAGATGCAGCTGCAGCAAAGAGCCTCAACTAGAGATGCTAATAGTGAGAAACGAGACACACCCAAAGGAACAGCAGCAGCAGCAGCTGCTGCTGCTGCTGCAGGAAGCAGCAGCAGCTGCTGCAGCAAAGAGACAGCACTTGCTGCTGCTCTAATGTTGCTGCTTTTAAGAGACAAATGAAAAGAAAAAATGGCTGTCTCCGCGTTTGCTGCGCGCAAGAGTACAAACACCTGTCTGCTGCTGCTGCTGCTGCAGTTGCTTCTGCTGCAGCTGCTTCAGCTGCTGCTGCTGCAGCAAATCAGTCCATTGTTGCCGCTGAGAAAGCCGAATTTGCTGCTACTAGTGCTGCTGCAGCAAAGAAAGCAGGCTGAAGATGCCACCGCTGCTGCTGCTGCTGGAATTGCTGCTGCTGCTACTGCTGCCCCTCTTGCTGCTGCTGCTGCTGCTGCTCTTGCTGCTGCTACTCGTGCTGCTGCTGCTGCTGCTGCTGCTGCTCGTCTTGAAGGTTCTCTGAAGGCGTCCGCGAGTTCTGGGCACTTGTGTCTTCTTTGATTTTGCCTCTGAGGACTCCGCCTTTGATTTTCATTCTTTTTCTGTCTTGTGTCTGCAAAATAAATTAAAATAAATTAATTAAATTAATTAATTAAAACTAATTAATTAATTAATTAATTAATTAAATTAAAAAGTGTTTTAAATGAATTAATAAGCAAATCCACGCGCTGGAAGCAAAGCAGAAACAGAGCTTGCTGCTGCTGCTTTTGCCAGCAGCAAATCGAAACCCGCAGCAGCAGCAGCAGCAGCAGCAGCAGCAGCAAAGCCCGCGGCATCAGCGACAGAAGCAGCACCAGCGTAATTGTCATCACTATCATCAACAGCAGCAACAGCAGCAGCAGCAACGTCACCATCATTATTATCAACAGCAACAGCAGCAGCAGCAACAGCAGCAACAGCAGAAGCAACAGAAGCAACACCAGCAGCAACAGCAGCAACAGCAGTAGCAACGGCAGCAACAGCAGCAGCAACAGCAGCAACAGCAGTAGCAACGCCAGCAACAGCAGCAACAGCAGCAACAGCACCAACAGCAGCAGCAACAGCAGCAATAGCAGCAGCAGCAGCAGCAGCAGCAGCAGCAGCAGCAGCGGGACCTTGTAGACTTGGGTGTAGGCGTCAGGGTTGGAGAAGATGGAAGTTCCGTATTCTTCATCTTTGTCTGTGTCTTTTTCTGCAACATTTAATAAAACCTTTTCTCCAGCTTCCGCCCACTGCTGAAACACTCCCTCTTTCCAAATACCTGCAGCAGCAGCAGCAGCAGCAGCAGCAGGGAATGCAGCAGCAGCAGCCAGTGCAGCAGCAGCAGCAAGTGCAGCAGCAGCAGCAGCAGCAGGTTTGTTGAGGGCCACTTCTGTGGACCGCCTTAGAAATTTCCTGGGCTCAATCAGCGGCCCTGAGAAATTTTAAAACCCCTAGGGTTTAGGGTTTAGGGTTTAGGGTTTGTGAGTGGGTTTGTCTGGCCTTTTCGCCTGGCTAAACAACCCGTGGTTGGCGCCGCAGAACTAGGGTTTAGGGTTTAGGTTTAGAAGCAGCACATCCGATCCTCCCGCGGCGTAAGCCCGCCCCGAGGGTTTAGGGTTTAGGGTTTAGGGTTTAGGGTTTAGGGTTTAGGGTTTGGGACCTTTGCGGGACTTTCCGCTGGGCATGACTTCAGTGACTTCGCCGTGGAGTTTGTTGCTGCTGAAGTGGCCTTCGTACTTGCGGCCGTCCCGCAGCAAAAGAACTCCTTGGCCTTCCTTCAAACCCTTTTTGAATAAACCCTCGTAGCTGCTGCACTGCCCCGCAGGCCAGCTGTAAAACCCTAAACCCTCCATCAAACCCTCGCGCCACAAACCCTCGTACTTCCGCCCGTTCGCCCACACGTAAACCCCAAACCCTGCAAACACCAAACACCAAACCCTAAACCCTAAACCCTAAACCCTAAACCCTAAACCCTAAACCCTAAACCCTAAACCCTGAAGCCTAAACCCTAAACCCTAGGTGGTGGCTGCGGAGCCCGGGAGTGTGCGCGGTGGGAGGGGTGCGGCTTGAAGTGCGTGCGCTGAGCAAACCCTAGGGTTTGGAGGAGCTAGGGTTTAGGGTCTGCCAGAATTAGGGTTTAGGGTTTGGGGTTTAGCGTCTAGGGTTTGGAGGCGCACCGTCAAACAGATCCGCCTTGAAGTCGCCTTCATAAGTAGAGCCGTCGGGGAATCTAATTTTGCCCTTTCCCTCCTTATCTCCATTCCTGAAAACAAACAACTAGGGTTTAGGGTTTAGGGTTTAGGGTTTAGGGTTTAGGTTTTTGTGCTGCAGTCTCGATCTGCGCCGGAGCTGCTTGCGGGTGTCAAGTCCCCTTCCCGCCAGGGTTTAGGGTTTACGGCTTGCAAGCTAGGGTCTAGCCCCTAGCGCCTAGGGTTTAGGGTTTAGGGTTTAGGGTTTAGGCTTTAGGGCTTAGGGTTTAGGGTTTAGGGTTTAGGGTTTGGCGGACTTGAAGGGCCCTTCGTAGACAGTGCCGTCCGCCCAGGTCTCGACGCCCTTTCCGTCTTTGACGTCTTTATTGAAAGTTCCCACATAACTGAAAAATAAAAATAAATAAATAAATAAATAAATAAAATAAATAAATAAATAAATAAATAAATAAACAAATAAATAAATAAATAAATAAATAAATAAATAAATAATTAATTAAAGTAATTAATTGGGTTAATTCGACAGGCTTTTGTCTGCTGGTCTGGGGAAGCCTTAATTTGACCAGATTGCATCTAAACCCTAAACCCTAAACCCTAAACCCTAAACCCTAAACCCCAAACCCCAAACCCCAAACCCCAAACCCTAAACCCTAAACCCCACAAGTTACCGTCCTCCTGTGCAACTGGCGCTCTCGCGGCGCCCGCCTCTCCTCCCCCCAAACCCCAAACCCCAAACCCCAAACCCTAAACCCTAAACCCTAAACCCTAAACCCTAAACCCTAAACCCTACGTGGCCCCGTCTTCGTGGGTGAGTTTGCCCGCGCCGTGCAGCTGGCCGCGGCTCCACTCGCCCTCGTATTTGAGGCCCGAAGGAGAAATAAAAATTCCTTTTCCATCAAATTTATTTTCTTTAAACCCTCCGGAATAAAAAGTCCCTTCTGGAGACTCCAAAGTGCCCTCCCCGTCCAACATCCAGTCCTGCAAACCCTAAACCCTAAACCCTAAACCCTAAACCCTAAACCCTAAACCCTCGGGGCTACGGGTGCGCGCTGCGGGGTGCGCAGTTCGCAGCGGGCCATAGGCGCTAAACCACCCAACACACAAACCCTGGCCCCTAAACCCTAAACCCTAAACCCTAAACCCTAAACCCCAAACCCTAAACCCTAAACCCTAAACCCTAAACAGTGAACCGTAGGCCCCAGATCCTAAACCCTACAACCCACAGCCCAGCGCCCACACCCTGGCCCCTCTCCCCTCCCCCCACCCCAACCGGGTTTG